TGCAACTGAATGACTGACGGAGACGAACCGACTCTCGGCGCCAGAACTTGCAACTGAATGACTGACGGAGACGCAAATCATCTGCCTGCCGCTACCCCGGATTTCGCAAATCCAACGACTAGTTGGTCACCTGACGGCGGCAGATCACAGGAGCTCGCGCGACGGACTCAACCGCCCGTCGCACTACGTGACGGGGGCATTCTGCACTACGTCGACGAAAACCGTGGCGGTTCTCGTCACGGTGACGGAATCCGTCGAGTTTCGTTCGTCGACGAAGAACGGCGTCCGGCGGAGAAGCGGCAATCACGACGGAACGAAACAGCCTCGTCGCAGCCGCAGGCGGTAATCCTCCGCAGCTCCCACGACGGAAGAACCAGACAGGAAGCTTCTGCGCACATGCCTTTCGCTCTCGAAGAGGAAATCTCCACGAAAGTGCGGGACGAAGCCATGGCGGGGCGCAAGTTGCTAATTCTAAGGACGGCGGATGGCGCGGAGAGTATGGTCGCGGAATCCGCGGCGGAGAAACGTGGCGACGGCGCGACTGCAACGACGGACTATGGCCGCGTAAGCGACGGCGGCAACGAAGTTTGCGAGGCTCGAGAGGCACGGTCGCGGCAGGAAGACGCGATGGATGAGCGAATAGAAAGCGCCCACGCGTCAACGCAGCAAGGTATTGACCTGAACGTGGACCTTAACCTGAGCCTGGATTTGAGCTTGGTTAGTACGAGCTGGAACCCGAACCTGAATCCGAGCCTGAACCCGAACCTGAATCCGAGCCTGAATCCGAGCCAGGATACTAGCCTTGACCTGACTCTTCTTTTTGGACGGGAGGCTGGAGCAGTTTCGACTCATGGAGCAGCAACACGTGAGCCACTGGCAGTACCACTGCCATTGACGCAACCACTTGATTCTCAGACGCCTCTTGGGCAACTTCTCTCCCTGCCGTCGGCGCCAGGTGCGGAGAGGGTGCTTTCGCCTGCTACAGCCGACCAGCTTGAATCTCACACCCAAAGGCCCCGAGACACCGGTAGCAGAAGGGAGAGTCCTTCCAAGAAGGTTCTTGCTCCTGCTAAAACCGGCCAGCTTGAATCTCACACAAGAAGGCTCGGAGGCACCGGCAGCGGAAGGGAGAGTCCTGCCGAGGGGGTTCTTGCGCCTGCTACAGCCGGGCAGCTTGACTTTTACACGCCGAGGCATGGAGTGTCTGTGTGGGATTCCCGTTTTAGCCTCGAGGCTCGATTGCTGAAGCAAGAGGACGCAGCTAAGGGAGCCTGCGAGCTAAGCCTTTCCCTTCCTGGCAACAGAGGAGCAGGGATGGGAATGCTCGGCAGCTGTGCGGAGCTGGGAAGGGTTGGCAGCAGCGGAGAGATGGGAAGGCTCGGCAGCGGTGCAGAGCTGGGAAGGCTCGGGGGCAGTGGAACGAATGGAAGGCTCGGCAGCAGCGGCGGCAGGAGAAGCGTCGAGGCAGAGAGGGAGGGCGTCCTCTCTGACAGGAACAATCAGCAGGTACCACAGCCGGAGCAGAGGCAGGGAACGGGGCAGGGAAAGAGACAGGGGAAGGAGCAGGGGAATTGGCAGGGGGAGAGGGAGGGAAATGGGAAGGGGCAGGGGCAAGGACGGTCCAGACAGAGAGAAGAATCTCGAAATTCCAAGCTGCGTCGATGGGTGCCTGGATTCGCTGCTGGTGCTACAGCCGCTGCTGCTGACACTGGTTGTGTTACAGCCACTGCTGCGGATTTTTCCCCAAACCTACGCCTGTCAGAGCTGGTCATGGTTGCGCAACAGGCTCGGACCGAACCTGCGCCCGCGTCAAACACTGCTCCAAACACTGGTCCCTTGCCTTACTTCAATACACCACCTTACTTCAAACCACCACTTTCCCCTTTCAATACGCCACCTTCCCTTTGCAAGGCACCTACCCTGCCTCTGCCTTTGAACCCACCTAGCTTTCATCCAGCCAGTCTCCCACTTCCCCAGCCACCGAATCTCACGAACTCCGGAAAAAATCCGGGAACGCACAGCCATCCACTAGCACAGGCGCCTTTTGAGAAGAATCAGTGGACCCCGCACGTTTCCATTACAAGTCAATTCGCTAGCCTTGCTGTTGCTGCTGCTGGTAGTGCCAGTGCCGGTGCTTGTGCTGCCGGTGATGTCGCTGTTGGTGCTGGTGGTGCAGGTGCGGGTGGTGCTGAAGCTGCTGGTGCCGGTGCTGCCGGTGCCAGTGCTGGTGGTGCTGGTGCTGCCAATGCCGGTGCCGGTGCTGGTGCTGCAGGTACAGGCGGAATGTGCCATCATTCACGAGTACAATCGCACTCTGAGCTTACCTTTGTGGCACAGCCCGCAGCCATTTCAAACGTGATTCCAGCACAGCCCGCCGCAATTTCCAGCCAGATTTCCAGCCAGATTTCCAGCCAGATTTCCAGCCAGATTTCCAGCCCTGCTGCTGGGTCCGCTGGGTGCTTTCATGATCACTCTCAGCGCTTGCAGCCGATTGGGCAATACGTCAACCTGAGATCACCAAATCAAAAGGACAGCTTCCCACATGTGACTCCAATGAGACAACCGCTGATGGGAGCCCCCTCTGATGTGACTATAACAGGAGAAGCACCAACAGTTTCCCCCTCAATTGTTACTATAACGGGACAGCCGCCTACAGGAGCCCCTTTCCATATGCACGTGGAACCACCTCGCCCGGAATCCCCTGCAGCTTTCCCAAACACACTCACAAGTCTCCCACACCCCAAGTCCCCTGCCGTGTTCCCAATCGCACCTGCCCGGTGCCTGCTTGTACGGTCAGCCCGAAAAAGAAAAGCTCCGCCGGAATCTCAGGCTGTCCAGGAACAGTTTTTGCCCAATGGGTTGCCTCCGAGTGTGGTTCCTGTGATGCATTTGGCTGAGAGCAACCGGCTGATAGTCCCTCGCAGCAAGTGGGCTCAGGGCCTTGTAGTAAGCCATATGAATGTGCCGGAGGGACTGCCCAAGGAGGATCAGCAGAAATAATCTGTATGATGATTTGCCCAGTTGTGGCCCTGAGCGTGGTTCCTGTGATGCATCTTGCTGAGAGCAACAGGCTGATAGTCCCTCGCAGCAAGTGGGCTCAGGGACTAGTGGCAAGCAACATGAATGTGCTGGCTGGACTTCCCAAAAAGGATGAGCACAAGTAACCTGTAAATAAAAGTGTTGCAAAAGCACACACCGTACCTTAATCAATCTAAGAAAATCCCTTTGGTTCTGGTTTTTACGCTCAGTGGAATACAGCAAGAGTGGTCCAACAGTTCATTTATCCCACTGGTAAGAGTTGAGTGTGGGAAGTTATATTGCTCTTGGCGCTGGTCGAGCGGATTTGCCAGGGAAAAAACGTGGGTCCAGCTGCTTGGGTCGAGCTGGGACTCGACCCAAGCGGAAGCGGCGCAAGCTTGCGCCGAGTAGGACAACCGCCACCGTCCCAAAGGCTAGGCTCCGCCTGCCCGTGAAACTGTGCTCTGCCCGAGCAGATCCGTGCGTGCAATGTAGCTGGCGAAGCACGTTCTCTCGCCAACGTCAATGTGTCGCCGTCAGTTGACGTCGACATTTCGCGCAAACGGTTGCGACGTGATATGCGCGAACACGTCGCAGCCAGTTGGTGAAAACCCCACTATTGAGAAACTCGATAATGAGGTCAGTGTTAGACATTCGTTTACAGTGAAATTTGTTCTTCTGCACACGTTTTACTAGATTACATCGTCTTCCGCAAGTTTGAACGCTTGTTGTTTGCGCGATTGTCCACCTAGTTCAGTGTTCTGAGACGCCGTATGTACCTCGGCCAGTCGCTAAAAGACAGACTCATAGGTTGTTTTTTTTTTCGATGAGGACAAAGTAGTCCTATAATGCAGTTGGGCAACCCAGTAGCAGTTTACGTTAACACATCAACACGAACAACAGTTGTTCTGGTGTAATAATGATAAACGACTGTGCGTTATACACCCTTAAACACGCTACTAGTCGAATCGCTCATATAATTCGTGGTTCAAGTACAAACGAGACCAGAATTCGGAAACGCAATTAACTTTTGGTACCACAAGAAGACGGATTTTTCTCGGATTTCTCGATCGCGACATGGTACTTTTAACTGTTTCCTGAAAGAAGCATATCCACTTTAAGCTTTGTTTTGTGAAATCACGTAACTGGGCACAACCCTTGATGTTGTACTATATTGAAAATAATGTGTATTAACATGTTTCCGTTTGCGCGCCGACCGTGGTCCACGTGGCAGAGTTACTCGTTCTCTGCGGGAGGGGTATGGCTCAGAGTTACGCCATTGTGGAGGAGCCAGCCAATCGGGTGCTCTGTCAAAGGCGGGAAGAACCCCAGATCTGGGGTCTGGCGACCAGATCTAGAGAAGCTGTGGCGGGAAGAAGGGATGCAGTCAGAGGTTGTGGTGCTCATGTTCATGTGGCTGAGTCCCAGAATGCTTAAATAGCTCTCTGTTGTGTGTCATTTCTTGATTCCTTCGTCAAAATTTAACACATCTTAGGGGAAAACATCAGCCTGCTTGCTTCCATACCTTCAATCCAACATGGCATGATACATTGCTCCGTTCAGAGTTGCACACACGCGGAGGGTTGAGACCGCGTAGGATTTTTTGTACTCTGGAAAATGAGTATATTTTAGAGATGCTAAAGAACTCTGAATGGAACATCCGTTTCATATCATCATTGTTCTCCACTCAGAAGGGTCACATTCATAGTTTATTTTCCCTGTAACAACTCCGATCACGATTCACTTTTCAACACAACATTCTCTTGGGCTTGCTGGCAGTCCATCCAATTCCCGACGAGGCGTTTTAGATTTCGCATGTCGAAAATAAGCGTTTCAGGACAGGTTTCGCGCACCTGTGAAGCATACAGCCCTCTGAAACAGGTACACCGTGATGGCGGGCGAAGGCGGTACGGGTAATTTTCTTAGCGCAGCTTTCGACCTCAATGAGGAGTATCATGATCTTCCAGACTGCCAACTGCCCAATGCCCCTGATTGATCTAACCGGGGACCGCGATGCGGACACGGAATTCGAGGCAGCTGTTGGGGGCGATGTGTTCCTGGATGCTCAGGAGGAATTTCCGGCCTCGAACCCTGAAGTCGGGGTCGAGGGAAATGTGGCTGAGGGCGGAATTCCGAGGGGCGGAATTCCGAGGGGGGTGTTCATTGATCTCGCGGAAGATGATGACGACCCCCACCGAGCGTTGTTTGAGGAGGATTGGGAGGAAAATGGTAGCCGAAGTCCAACCTCTGAAGATAATGCCACCCGGCGAAGTCTTTTTGGGGAACCGCCCCGTGGCAATGTGAACGGCCCAGAATCACAGGCATCGCCACATGGAAGTGCACATGGTGTCGGATCGTCGGCTGCGCCCGCGGGAAATGCTGAGGGACAAGAACCAGAGGCTGCGCCACAGGGAAATGCGGAGGGGCAAGCATCGCAGGCCGCGCCTCAGAGAAATGCAGATGGGCCAGCATCAGCTACGCATGAGTCAGTTCGAAAACAGGCCGACGTGGCCAGCAGGATTCGCCGCGCAAAAATCCCTTTCGATTATCTCGCGGCGAAAACCAGAAAAGACTACATCCTGTATTGGCTGCACTACAAGTGGTGGGTCATCATGTTCATGTCAACGTTGCACAAGACTGAGGTCCCGGCGGAGGAGCGTCTGAACCCTCTGGCGCCTGACGAGGTTGGAATCCATCTGGGGAACGACAAAAAGGCGGAGTGGTCAACTGTGGATTTGGATCAAGTTTATCTCCACGGGCCCCGTGTTACTGGATGGAGGATTCAGAGGTTCCTGCGGTACATGGCAGAGGAAACCCCCGCGCAGGCCGAGATGATGCGGAGGGGCGAAGAAGTGGTGGCTGGAAAGGAGCCCATCCCTAGTACGCCGAGCATGATGAAGGCAAAGATGAGCGCTTTGGGCTTCCTGGGCAGACTTGAAGCTCGACTCTACGACTACCCGAAGGCCCAAGCAAATGAGTACATCGGCGAAGCGCGGGAGTACATGAAGCTCAAGCTGAAACAGCTGCACGACAAGCAGGTTGAGTGAGTATTTACACACTTCATGGCCAAACAGATTCTCGAAAATTTGATGCCTAAGCACGTTCCATGTGGGTCTATGCAGGGAGGGCAAGGATCAGCACCGAAACTCTCTGGACGATTGCTACACGTCGGAGCAGTACGCGGACCTGCACGAAAAGCACTTTTTGAGGGAAATCAAATTGTGCTACTAGAGAACCAGGATTGCATTATCAGAAAGTCTCTGGCGGTCTTTTGCGGTGCAGGTGATGATTCAGCTCGCACACCAAATGTTGGGAAGGGGATGCAGCATTCGTGCTCTTCGATTCGCCAACATGTTTGTCCGCCACACGCGTAGCAGCACGGCCGTCCCCGACCGCCAGAAGGATCTCCCTGTTGGGGTTTTCGCCTCTCGAAAGTCCAAGACGAATGCGACCAACAGGCTGACCCACCAATTCTTGGCCCGACACATCAACTTCGCGCTTTGCGGTGTTGGTGGTCTTTTTCTGTGGATTCATTTCGTCTACGACCTCGTGCCTCTGCGATTCGGAGCGGACATCATTCCGCCACTGGACTTCAGCGACCCCCTCCAGTGGTCAAAGAAGCACATTTTTTTCCCATTGAGGCACGGAAGGGAACAACTGCAGGAAGAGCTTCCGTACGTGACCCACAACAATTGGATTAATTGGGTCATGAAGGAAGTAGCTCGACCGCCCTGGCGGATCAGCAAAAAGACCCATGCGTTTCGCCGGTCGGGAGCCCAAGGCCTGAGTGACGATCGCTGTCCCGACCCCGACATCAACGCTCTCGGCGGTGTCAGAATATTATGCTCTAGCCTGCAGTGGGGTGCTCTATAGCGAGTACAACCCTTCTAGGGTTAGCTATTTGTACCACCATTGTTGCTAGTGCAAACCCTCCTTTGCTTCATTCTCTCTTGCCTAGCTAGGTCAACCCTAGCTATGGCTCCTCATCGTGCTAACTATCACGACATGCTATCAGAGCAGGACGATCCAGTTGGGTCGATCCTGTGGGTGGGCCCCACCACCTCAGTCTTCCGCTGCTCCTACTACTGTTTGTGTCGCACGCCCCGTGGCGTGCGACGGATTTTTCATCCCGCCGCGCGCTCGGGGCGTGCGGCGGTTTTCTACCCGCCGTGCGCCCCGGACGCGCGGCGGTTTCCTGTCCGCCGTGCGCCCCGAGGCGCGCGGCGGTTTTCCTACCGTGGGGGACCCCCGCGCGCCCCCGATTTCCCGTCGCCCGCGGCCCCCCGTTCCCGTCGCCCGCGGCCCCCCTCGTTCCCGTCGCCCGCGGCCCCCCGTTCCCGTCGCCCGCGGCCCCCCGTTCCCGTCGCCCGCGGCCCCCGATTTCCCGTCGCGCCGCCCTGGGGAACCGCGCGCGACCCCCCGCTGCCCCTTCGCGGCGCCCTAAGGAGCCGCGCGCGGCCCCTCGCTACCCCGTGGTGGCGTCCTGGAGGTCGCGCACCGTCCCCCTCGCCGTCCCCCGCGCTCCTTCCCCCGTTCCGCCCGTTTTAGGGTTTGGGGGTGAGGAGTGTGGGGGTGGCGGCTATGGGGGTGTCGGTTGTGAGTTACTCCCCCTGCTCCTCCTCCTCCCTCGTCTCCCTCTGCTACAGCTGCCGCTGAGGGGGGTGGTGTGTGGGAGCCTGGGGTTTGGGGTTTAAGGGGGGTACCGTGGGAGTGGAGCTAGGGTTTGAAGCAGGGGGTGTGTGTCGAGGGGTGTGGGACTGTTGGGGGAGATTGAGCGGAGGTTGCCGTCGTGTCGTACGCAGCGCCTGTACTCCGGGGCACTCATTCCCGGTAGCTCAGAGAGCCGGTTGCGCCGTCGCCTGTGGGTCCGTTGCTCCTGCCGCGCGTATTAGCCGTGGAGCCTGTTACTCCTGTACTCCGGGGCACTCATTCCCGGTAGCCACTGTGTCGCACCAGAGCCGTCTGTTGCCCGTGTGTCTGCAGCTTCAGTCGTCGCCTCCTAATCTACTCTCCTCTCGCCAGCCCTCCTCCTCCTCACTTGCCCTCTGTGACTGCCTCTAGCTTTGCTCATAATTGTGAACTTGAAACTATTGCTTCTTGAACTTGTGCTCAGAATGTGTGGTGACATCGTGATCCACCCTGAGCTTGTACTGCTTTGCTTGCTCTGCTGATTACACCCCACTTTGGCTATGGGGGTGTGTCAGAATATTATGCTCTAGCCTGCAGTGGGGTGCTCTATAGCGAGTACAACCCTTCTAGGGTTAGCTATTTGTACCACCATTGTTGCTAGTGCAAACCCTCCTTTGCTTCATTCTCTCTTGCCTAGCTAGGTCAACCCTAGCTATGGCTCCTCATCGTGCTAACTATCACGACAGGCGGCTGGGAGCAGGGCGAGATGCGAAAATCCTACGTCGTGGGAGTTCCGTTTTGGCCGGTCTTGATGATGGCCGGATTCAGTGGGGAGCCGGGAGATTACTACATTGGCAGAGCGCACGCTAAACTTGACAATCCAGCCGAGTGGCAACAGTTGCAAAACCTCTTCAAGCTGTTCATCTTCCCGCGCCTCGAATCTGATTTGGCAAAGGTATCCCTTAATTACCCACCCTTTTGCAGTGTCTAATGTTGCACTTGGCAAAGCTGAATGTCTTCTCTGTTCTATCATCTCAGGTCGATAAGTACAACCACGACAATCCGGATAAGCCGCACCACTCTGGCAGAAGTTTTTTGGAAGCTCTTGCAAACCCTGGGCGAGACATCGTGGCACAGGACCTTGCCATGTGGTGGTTCTACTGTCCCGATCACGACCATCTGTTCAACGGTACAAGACGGCCATGCGAGTGCCAGCGCCACCCGTACACGGACATGAATCCGCTCTGCCGCCACCCTCTGTTTCAGAAATGGGCCATCAAAGTGGCAATCATGCACAAGGCTGGCATTGAACTTCGTGAAGCCAGAGGCAGCTCTGCAGCCGCTGTAAGTACAACAGTTCTCTGATCGGCCCTTCCATTTCGACAGACCTGACATTGCCTGAGAACCCTCGTCCGTTTTCCCGCAGGATGCGATCTACAAGCTGAACTCATCCCGAAAGTACCAGCAGCTCCTGGTGGAGAACAACCTGTACCGGACGGAATGTGGTCAGAAGGATCACGAGATCGGCGAGCTGAAGAACAGGCTCGCTGAAACCGAAGAGAGGGAGAAGAAGACGGCCGCTGAAAACGAGCAGCTCAAAGCGGAGCTGGCTGCTCTGAAGGCGCGTGCAGGGAGCAGCGCGAACGCACAGGCTGCTGATCGAGGGACGGGCTCGTCGACAATGGAGGAAGCTGGCGGGGAGGCTCCGAAGCCCCAGAAGGCACAAGTCACCACTCCAGTGCAGGCATTTTTCGACCTTGTCGTTAAACCCTGGCGGGACTCGGAGACGGTCGCAGAGGCATGGGAACACTGGGTGAAGGTGACATTTTTGATGGACGGAAAGACTCTCCGCCAGCTGTCGTCCGAAAAAAGTTTCTACCCCACTTTCTCGTACATTGAGAAGGGTGTGAAGGACGATACTGGCGACAAAAAAATGAAGCGGATGAGGAACGTGATGCTCACCGTCGAGAAGTACAGGGCTAATGAATCGGAGGAGGCCACCCGAGATGCCATTGCAAAGATCCAAAAGGACGTGGTGGATCGGAGTTCGATCAGCGCTCTGGCGGATGGCGTGATTCTCGGAAACGAGCCACCTCCGAAGAGGGATAATCCCGGCAAGGATAAGACGACGGAGAACAAGCGCCGCAAGGTCGGGTACCTCTTCTTCGCCGCCCAGATGGAAGGTGACGCGTGGGGAGAGAAGATGTTTGGGGAAGATGTTTGGAAGCAGATCAAGATCGACGAGCCAAAGAAGCTGGCTAAACTGAAGAAGTAGATCACGCTACTGAGACTTCCTTACGTGATCGGTTCCGCTCTGTTTTCCTACGACTCCACGTATCTATCATTGCCAGCATCCGTTCTTAGACCTCATTTCTGCTCTTCTCGTGACGTTGATACCTCTTTTCCTTCTTTTTAATTTTCTCTGGTCTACATCAACTTTTAGAGTCACGTCATAGTCATAGGGACGTCTGTAGTTCCATTAGAAATTTTACACCCTCCGTACATCGTAACCTTCGCCTATCATACCAATAGGATCGTGTTCGAAACCGGCTTGTCGATAACAGTGCTGCGACGGCTTAGACAAAATACGCGAACAAATCTCGAAAGTGCTTACTCACTTTGGAGTATATTGTTACCTGGCACACTAGTCAGTGTAACCTGGGAATCTCTCGAAAATCAGGGTTAGCTACAGACTATGATGCCAAGCGAGAAAGTAATCACTGCGCCGCCAGAGAGCACTTCCCTCCACCTTTCCTTTCTTCTGTTCTAGAGTCTAAATCCTCCTTTAGAGTAACACTAAAGTTATTGGAACGTCTATGTTAAGAATGGGAATATCTCGAAAACAGGGGAATGTGCCGATCATCAAAGCATGCCACATATATCCGAAGCAAGAGAAGACTTAGGGTTTCACTCGCGTCACGCCTAATGTTCACGAGCGAAATCCTGAGTAGGTTAGTTATTGGAAAACAATCACACAAGCAATCAAGAAAACACCGTGGTACAGACCTCTAACCCTCGAGAATTAAAGTCCATTTTCACGCCAAGCTTTCGAGCAATGCATGCAACAGATAAAGCTGGCACCCTCGGAATTTTATACCCGCATTCGCCGTCTCCGTCCACCGCATTAAGGCTGGACAAGATGCAGCATTTCTGATATGCGTAGACTGCGCCGGCAGAGAGCACCCGCACCAGTACACCAGCACCTTCTAAGCCACTTCGGAAACCTAGACAGTGTTTAGAGTACTGGCATGTCGGAATATTATTCCCCATGGTCTGCGGAGGATTGTGTTCGAGCGAAACAATTGGATTTGAGAACAATTTGAGACGTTGACAAACTATGTATCGGAAACAAAGTATCAGAGACAATATTGTATAGGGCTCTATCAAGGGGCCAAAACAGTACAGAGCTCTATAGTCCGAAGTAACCGAACAGTATTTACAAGCTGGAAATGGAAGACTCGAAAACTACAACATGCGACAGACTATAGTACAGAGCTGCAGCAAACTCGAAACTACCCTCCCCCTACTGCATCACTCTTTGCCTCCCGCATTCCCCTTCCGTCGTCCCCCTCTTGTGGGCGGGGGAAAATGGAGCATCCCACCCTGATACGCGTAAAGATTCTGGTTTGCGTGACAGCACTCGCACCAGTACACCAGCACCCTCGAAACAACCTTGGCCATTTCGATAGCCTCTGCCTCCCCGGGCTCGGGATCCACAAGGCCGAGAATAGCCTTGGTGAGTACCACTTCCCACTCCGCCTTCTCGTGCGTTAGGTTCTTCACGGCTTTTAAAGTCCACACTCCAAGCCGAGCAGTAGAGGTTGCTCGACTCGCAAGGCTTGCCTCGTTGAGCGTGCCACGAGCCGCCTCATCCGCACCCTCCGCCCAGTCCGGGTGGGGAATGCCGATCGAGGCACACCACAAGGTGTAGAGGGTTGCAGCTACTCCCGCTGCATAGACCGCGGGAGTGACATTCGCGGGGGGCGACACCAGCCCACTCCCTCCGTGTACCTGGGCCTGTCCAATCCCTGTGCAAACGGCCACCTGGAAATGCGCGCCGTCCTTCATCCGTGCATGTGTCTTGTTCATGACGTTTTCGAAGCTGCACAGGAGAGGTGGGTACACGGTTAGTGTGGGAAAACGGGAAAATGTACTAAAACTTGCTAAGTCGAATCGAATACTCACTTCTCGAACTTGTCGAGGTTCAATTCGTTCATGACACTCCAGACACCCGTCGGGAGGTCACGAGCAAAATCGAGGTGGACCGCCCACAAGCCAAGCTCGGCAGGATCCAAGCCGTAATGTGGCATGTCGGTGTCGGGGAAGTAGGTCATCCAACAGACGGCCACTGTGAAATCGCGCAGATTCCTCTCCTTGAAGCTCCCCATGTTCCTCTTCACACCTCCGACGGTTTGCTCCGAGTTGAAGCGCACGGACACCACTACCCCCTTCTTGTTCTTCTTTTCGCGTGTGGTAAGACCACTCGATCTGAAATGCCTTGTTTCTCCCCACCGCTTCCCTAGCTCATCTGGTAGCGCATCCGTTCTTCGCGGTGCCACCTCTCCCGTCGCCTCCCCCAGCGTTGGTTGAACGTTCTGATTTCCCGACACATTTTCACCGACACATTCATCTGACGCAGCTGTCCCCAAAGACCCCTCATCCGCGTCGAAGTTCGTTCCCGCCTGGTCAATGCGTGGCCTTTTCGATGGCGGTTGAGTCTCTAAAACTCCATGGCCTGTCAGTTGTACTGAACCCTGCCGCTCCTCCACGAGGTCCACTACTTGCAGTGGTTCATCGGGAACCACTTGAAGAATCCCGGCCCACCCTTCTCCTTCCGCCTCTCCTCCGTGCCGTTGCTCCGCTGCCCCTTCCTCATCCTCACCCGCAATCCGTCGCCTCTCGTTTTCCATTTTCTCTGTTTCTGCCTCTAACTCCTTTTGTTGCCTCTCCTCTTCCTCCTTTGCGGCTTCCTCCAACCGTGCAATACGCTCGATCTCCTCCATGGCTTTCTGACGCTCTATTTCGAGGTCTCTTTTACGCTTTGCTGCCTCCAACCACTTTGTTTCAGCGGTCTTTGCAATCTGCTGGCGCTTAGCTTCTAACTCCGCCTCCCTTTGTGCCCGCCTCCTTTCCATCGCCCTCGCCTCCTCCTGCCGCTTCTCCTCCTCGCGTTCCGCCCTCGCCTCCTCCCTCTTCCGCTCGTCCTCTTCTTCCTGACGCTTCTACTTTTCGCGTTCCGCCTTCCTCGCCTCCTCCCTCTTCCGCTCCTCCTGCCGCTTTTCCTCCTTTTCGCGTTCCGCCTTCCTCGCCTCCTCCCTCTTCCGCTCCTCGTCCTCCTTCTGCCGCTTCTCCTCCTTTTCGCGTTCCGCCTTCCTCGCCTCCTCCCTCTTCCGCTCCTCGTCCTCCTTCTGCCGCTTCTCCTCCTTTTCGCGTTCCGCCTTCCTCGCCTCCTCCCTCTTCCGCTCCTCGTCCTCCTTCTGCCGCTTCTCCTCCTTTTCGCGTTCCGCCTTCCTCGCCTCCTCCCTCTTCTGCTCCTCTTCTTCATCTTGCCGCTTCTGCTCCCTTTCGCGTTCCGCCTTCCTCGCCTCCTCCCTCTTCCGCTCCTCGTCCTCCTGCTGCCGCTTCTGCTCCTTTTCGCGTTCCGCCTCCCTCGCCTCCTCCCTCTTCCGCTCCTCGTCCTCCTGCTGCCGCTTCTCCTCCTTTTCGCGTTCCGCCTCCCTCGCCTCCTCCCTCTTCCGCTCCTCGTCCTCCTTCTGCCGCTTCTCCTCCTTTTCGCGTTCCGCCTCCCTCGCCTCCTCCCTCTTCCGCTCCTCGTCCTCCTTCTGCCGTTTCTCCTCCTTTTCGCGTTCCGCCTCCCTCGCCTCCTCCCTCTTCCGCTCCTCGTCCTCCTTCTGCCGCTTCTCCTCCTTTTCGCGTTCCGCCTTCCTCGCCTCCTCCCTCTTCCGCTCCTCGTCCTCCTTCTGCCGTTTCTCCTCCTTTTCGCGTTCCGCCTTCCTCGCCTCCTCCCTCTTCCGCTCCTCGTCCTCCTTCTGCCGCTTCTCCTCCTTTTCGCGTTCCGCCTTCCTCGCCTCCTCCCTCTTCCGCTCCTCGTCCTCCTTCTGCCGCTTCTCCTCATTTTCGCGTTCCGCCTTCCTCGCCTCCTCCCTCTTCCGCTCCTCGTCCTCCTTCCCCCGCTTCTCCTCCTTTTCGCGTTCCGCCTTCCTTGCCTCCTCCCTCTTCCGCTCCTCGTCCTCCTTCCGCCGCTTCTCCTCATTTTCGCGTTCCGCCTTCCTCGCCTCCTCCCTCTTGCTCCTCGTCCTCCTTCTGCCGCTTCTCCTCCTTTTCGCGTTCCGCCTTCCTCGCCTCCTCCCTCTTCCGCTCCTCGTCCTCCTTCTGCCGCTTCTCCTCCTTTTCGCGTTCCGCCTTCCTCGCCTCCTCCCTCTTTCGATCCTCGTCCTCCTTCTGCCGATTCTCCTCCTTTTCGCGTTCCGCCTTCCTCGCCTGCTCCTTTTTCTGCTCCTCCTGCCACTTCTCCTCCTTTTCGCGTTCCGCCTTCCTCGCCTCCTCCTTTTTCCGCTCCTCCTCCTTCTGCCGCTTCTCCTTTTCGCGTTCCGCCTTCCTCGCCTCCTCCTTCTGCCGATTCTCCTCCTTTTCGCGTTCCGCCTTCCTCGACTCCTCCTTTTTCCGCTCCTCCTTCTGCCGCTTCTCCTTTTCCCGTTCCGCCTTCCTCGCCTCCTCCTTCTGCCGATTCTCCTCCTTTTCGCGTTCCGCCTTCCTCGCCTCCTCCCTTTTCCGCTCCTCCTCCTTCTGCCGCTTCTCCTCCTTTTTGCGTTCCACCTTCCTCGCCTCCTCCCTTTTTTGCTCCTCTCTCCGCCGCTTATCCTCCTTTTCGCGTTCCACCATCCTTGCCTCGGCGGCTGTACCCGCCGGTTGGTTTTCCATCACTCTCCCGCTGCTAACAGTCCCAGGCCGGTCCTCCACCCTCGTATTTCCCAACCCGCTCTCAGCCCGCCTCTTCTTTGCAGCCGCCACTTGCGCCGTCTGAATTGCTTGCCGCTTCCGCGCTTCAGCCGTCCTCCTCTCCACGCTCTCCTTCTCCTTCTCTTTCTGCACTTTCTTTGCTGCGTACGTCTCTCTCCAGTTTCTCCTCACTGGTTCAGACAAGTCAATATCTGCCACACCAGCGCCCGTCTCACCCGCCTCACCAGCGTCACCCGCCTCACCCTCGGACGTCGCGGCAAACCTTTCCATCACTCGTTGTGCTGCGGAGATTGGGATGTCCGGGGAATCTGCTTCGGGCTGCGTTCGCGAAGGCCTTGGTGTGGCCTTTGCTCCGGCGGTGGGTGGTTTTCGGACTTTGATGGGTCCAGTCAGCCCTTTGAGCTTTGTTGACAGTCCAGCCAGCGCCTTCTAATCTTGGTGAAAGTCAGATTGTTCTGGTTGTCGGCAGTTTTGAGATCCTCCCACACTGTGTATACACTGTTGTCAATAGCTGCTTGCAGGTGTTCCATGGAGCTGGATGTGATCGTGGCCTCCAGCGACGATCGCTCTATCACCTGCTCAACCACACTCTTCAGCTTCACCCCTAAGTTCTCGAAAAAACCCTCTAACTTTTCCTGCAATGCTCCCACAGCCGCTGCTGCAGCTGCACGACCCGCATCAGCTGCTGCCACTCGTGCCTCGGCGACAGAGGTCGAAACAGCAGCACGCAATTGGTTTAGCTCGTTGCGTTCCCGGACCACCTCAGCCTTGAGCTCGTGGTACTCGTGAGTTAGATCATCGTAGTCCTGCATATGGCGCATGTCCCAATTCTGCATCTGCAACCCAAACTCGCGAATCTCTGCCATGCAGTCGCTGAAACGAACACGTTGCTCCGACGAAGTCCTGGCCACGGACCTTGCCACCAACGTCAAACGCCGCATTAGCTCTGCTGTGGTATGCACCCTGCCGCCAGCTGCGATGCGGTCGCCAGCCTCCTCAAACCCTCGCTCCGTCTCCTCGAAAACCTGGGGCCCCGCATTCTCCAGTCCCGCCAGTTCCGTCTCCACAGCCACCCATTCACCATCCTCTAGTTCCTCTGCATGCACCGCAGCAGGATTCTCCGCCGCTCGTGGATGATGCCTCTGCATAGGGAGCGCACTCGCCGCACTCTCTATTTCCTCGTCCACCCGTCCTCCTGCATGTCTCTGCTGATTCTCCCTGTGTCGCACTCCCTCCATTCCCCATCCCACCCCACGCCAGACCTGATCCTCCGCCATTCTCTCACCCTGCCGCGTTCCACGTGCTTCACCCTCTCGCCTACCAGCTTGCCTTGACTGCTCGACCCTCCTACGGTCTCCCTCGCCGACCCTGTTTCGAGCTGCTTGATCATCACGCCGGCCACCTTCCCGCTGTATTACCTGTCTTGTTCCGCCAGTTCTCAATCCCGGTCAACCAACATCCGCTGCCCGACCAACAGTCGTCCCCTGATGCCCCTCGGTTGGGTGGTCGCCAACCACCACTTGCCGAGCTCCTTCCCCTGCATCCGGCCCCAACTGCGCTTGAAAGACCCTCGCGCCCCTATGGCCATCGATCGTGTGACGAGTTCCATCCCCACGCCGCTGCCCCCCAGCACCTTGTTCATTCAACCCAGCAACCTCTCTCTGCCTTTCGTGCCTCTGTGTAGTGCCCCCTATCCCACGCCGCTCATTCTCTATACGTCGATCCCTCTGACGCTCCACACCCTGATGCTCACCGGCTTCCTCCGTCTGTTTGGCCAGTTGCCTCTCGCGCTCAAGCCTTTGAAGCTCTTTCCTTCTGCGTTCGCTTTCGATTCTCTTCCGTTCCCGTTCCTGCCTCTGCCGCGGTTCCTCCCTTTCGCGCGCTTCTCGCTCCTCGGTCTCGACCACCAGCCTCTGTCGCTCTCGATCCTCCACCCTCGCCTCCTTTTCGCGCGTTTCTCGACCCTTCGCCTCCAGCCTCTTCCGCTCCCGTTCGTCCTCTCTCCGCCGCTTTTCCTCCTGTTCGCGCTCTGCCTTTTTCTCCTCCTCCCTGTTCTGCTCTTCCTCTCTCTGCCTCTTGTCCTCCTGTTCGCGCTCAGCCTGCTGCTTCTCCTCCCTCTTCTGCGCCTCCTCCCTTCGACGCTTCTCCTTTTCGCGCTCAGCCTTTCTTTCCTCCTCCCTCTTCCGCTCTTCCACCTCCCTCTGCCGCTTCTCCTCCTGTTCGCGCTCTGTCTTTTTCTCCTCCCTGTTCCGCTCTTCCTCCTCCCTCTGCCGCTTCTCCTGTTCGCGCTCAGCCTCCTCCCTCTTCCGCTCTTCATCCTCCCTCTGCCGCTTCTCCTCGTTTTCGCGCTCCACCTTCGTCGCTTCCTCCCTCTTCAGCTCATCCTCCCTCTTCCGCTCGTCCTCCCTCTGCCGTTTCTCCTCCTTTTCGCGCTCAGCCTTCTCCTCCCTGTTCCGCTCTTCCTCCTCCCTCTGCCGCTTCTCCTCTTGTTCGCGCTCTGCTGTCTTTTCCCTCTTCCGTTCTTCATCCTCCCTCTGCCGCTTCATCTCCTTTTCGCGCTCCATCTTCGTCGCTTCCTCCCTCTCCCGCTCATCCTCCCTCTTCCGCTCATCCTCCTGCCGTTTCTCATCCTTTTCGCGCTCAGCCTTCTCCCTGTTCCGCTCTTCCTCCTCCCTCTGCCGCTTCTCCTCCTGTTCGCGCTCAGCCTTCTCCTCCCTCTTCCGCTGTTCATCCTCCTTCTGCCGCTTCTCCTCGTTTTCGCGCTCCACCTTCGTCGCTTCCTCCCTCTTCCGCTCATCCTCCTGCCGTTTCTCATCCTTTTCGCGCTCAGCCTTCTCCCTGTTCCGCTCTTCCTCCTCCCTCTGCCGTTTCTCCTCCCTTTCGCGCACAGCCTTCTCCTCCCTGGTCCGCTCTTCCTCCTTCCTCTGCCGCTTCTCCTCCTGTTCGCGCTCTGCCTTGTCTTCCCTCTTCCGTTCTTCATCCTCCCTCTGCTGCTTCTCCTCCTTTTCGCGCTCCATCTTCGTCGCTTCCTCCCTCTTCCGCTCATCCTCCCTCTTCCGCTCATCCTCCCTCTGCCTTTTCTCCTCTTCGCGCTCAGCCTTCTCCTCCCTGTTCCGCTCTTCCTCCTCCTTCTGCCGCTTCTCCTCCTGTTCGCGCTCTGCCTTCTCCTCCCTCTTCCGTTCTTCATCCTCCCTCTGCCGTTTCTCCTCCTTTTCACGCTCCAGCTTAGTCTCTTCCTCCCTCTTCCGCTCATCCTCCTGCCGTTTCTCCTCCTTTTCGCGCTCAGCCTTCTCTTCCGCCCTCTTCCGCTCTTCCACCTCCCTCTGCCGCTTTTCCTCCCGTTCGCGCTCAGCCTTTTTCTCCTCCTCCCTCTTCCGCTCTTCCACCTCCCTCTGCCGCTTTTCCTCCAGTTCGCGCTCAGCCCTTTTCTCCTCCTCTCTCTTCCGCTCTTCCTCCTCCCTCTGCCGCTTTTCCTCCCGTTCGCGCTCAGCCTTTTTCTCCTCCTCCCTCTTCCGCTCTTCCACCTCCCTCTGCCGCTTTTCCTCCAGTTCGCGCTCAGCCCTTTTCTCCTCCTCCCTCTTCCGCTCTTCCTCCTCCCTCTGCCGCTTTTCCTCCTGTTCGCGCTCAGCCTTTTTCTCCTCCCTCTTCCGCTCTTCCACCTCCCTCTGCCCCGTTTCCTCCCGTTCGCGCTCAGCCTTTTTCTCCTCCTCCCTCTTCCACTCTTCCACCTCCCTCTGCCGCGTTTCCTCCCGTTCGCGCTCAGCCTTTTTCTCCTCCCTCTTCCGCTCTTCCACCTCCCTCTGCCGCGTTTCCTCCCGTTCGCGCTCAGCCTTTTTCTCCTCCTCCCTCTTCCGCTCTTCCACCTCCCTCTGCCGCGTTTCCTCCCGTTCGCGCTCAGCCTTTTTCTCCTCCTCCCTCTTCTGCTCTTCCACCTCCCTCTGCCGCGTTTCCTCCCGTTCGCACTCAGCCTTTTTCTCCTCCCTCTTCCGTTCTTCCACCTCCCTCTGCCGCGTTTCCTCCCGTTCGCGCTCAGCCTTTTTCTCCTCCTCCCTCTTCCGCTCTTCCACCTCCCTCTGCCGCGTTTCCTCCCGTTCGCGCTCAGCCTTTTTCTCCTCCTCCCTCTTCCGCTCTTCCTCCACCCTCTGCCGCTTTTCCTCCTGTTCGCGCTCAGCCTTTTTCTCCTCCCTCTTCCGCTCTTCCTCCTCCTTCTGCCGCTTTTCCTCCTTTTCGCGCTCCATCTTCCTCGCCTCCTCGCTCTTCCTCTCGTCTTCTTCCCTTTGCCGCAAGTCCTCCTTTTCGCGCTCGACCTTCCTCTCTTTCTCCCTCACATTTTCTTCCTCCCTCTCCCTGTCCCCCTCCATCGAACTCACCTCTCGCTCCTGGTCCTCGAGTCTCATCCGCTTCTGTTCCACCCTCTGATTCGCCTCTTCCCCCTCGCGTGCTTCCCGCCCCTGATCATACTTCTTCTTTGTTCTTGCCTCCCGCCTCTGATACACCACCCTATTCTCACGTTCCTCTCTCTGCACCTCCTCCGATTCGCCTACGACATTCGGACTCCCCTGCCTCATGTCCGTACCCTGCCCCTGCTCTAGTTCATCATTCTCGACCGAGAGCTGCACTGCCTCAATACCCATTACTAACTCCTCCATCCTCTCCCCCTCCCCCCTCTGTTGTAGGGCATCCGATCCGCAACGCTCGGCCTTATCCTCTGGTTCCCTCTGCTGCGCCTCCCTCATTCCACGCAAGATCTCGCGCGCACTCCTCTGAAACGGTTCCTCCTCTCTATCCATCCTCTGACGCTCATCCGTTACGCTCTGACGCTCGTTGGCCAGACCCATTCGTGCGACGTCGGCAACCATGGCCCCCAACGCGACTATTTCCGCATCAATAAAGGGCGGGGCACCCGTGTCCTCAGCAGCGTCCCCGACGTGCCCCAGGTTGTGCAACTCTCCCGCACTCTCCTCAACACCAGCTTCAAGTCGCTTAAAATACTTTTCGCAGCTGGTCACTATGTCCTTGAATATATCCTCTCGCCGGTAGGGTGGTTTTCCGAGAACCCTAAATTTATCGTCTCGATCATGCTGCAAGAGAATCGAGTCAAACTGATCGAGCATTTTACGCCACTGGTACGCTACATGAGAACCGCTTCCGACCTCCCTCGAGGAGACCATTGGAGTTAGCTTCTGCATGAAAGGGAAATGGAGCAGGTTAGCTCTTGTCCTGTTTAGAGTTCCAATGTACAAGATGAGTTTGCACCGTAAACTTACTGACGCACTGTCGAGCCTCCACCCGCTCGTAATCCGTCTCCTGATGTCGCGGAATGTTTCCTGCACCTCCGAGCCTCCATTGATTGCTTCTCCTCTAGAATACTCCGTCAAGAGCTGCACCTCCAGCCATCTGCTCAACATGTGGGGTTTCGACAAAATTAGGCTCTGATCTGCCGTACCGTCATCAAGCACATGTGACGAGCGACAGTAGCTAAATCTTACTTGACAACTTGTAGGGCGAGGTCGCTGTGCTTGTGTGGTGGAGAATTCGATTTGGGGTCGAAATGCAGAAGACGCGTCGCAACCGGAAGATTCGGGTGGTCGGCCAGACTGTCGGGCCGGACAAGCAAGAAAAGGCTACAGCGCGCTCCAGGTTCTGCAGTCATGCTGCATGGGGTGGTGGGGTGAAAGGTTAGCCAGCGCGTAAAAGCTCGAACAGCCGCTGTATGTTCAGAGCAATAAATATTGACACCGTAACCTATGAAATTCGAGCTTACCTTGACCACAGCGGAAAGACGACGAGTTGCTTGCCAAGCACACCATCGAGTCTGCCAGGACCCATGGGTTCGAAAGGTTGTTTCGCCCTGGCCGCATTTACTGTACTCATGGGGATGATTTCCATTTTCGAAAGCTGCTCCGCGGTCAGCCTCTCCTTTGCAATCTTCCTGCAAGAGACAACACACGGAGCTTTCAGAGATCAGAGCAGCGCAACACAACACATCCGTATTCGCGGAAATATTTCTCGAAATAGAGATCTAAGCACCTTTCGAGAACCGATCGCCTCTGTTGAGCAGTAGAAAAGAGGAAACTACATCTCGGAATATGGGTAAGACGTTGGAGCGCCTAGAGAGTTTTTCGCTCGATCGCTACTTGTACTCTACACGTGACAGAGAGCCTGTAAATCTCGAAACGTGACATCTCTAGCCGAGAATCAATACTACGAGGGCATCTTACACCATAACAAAGTTGAGCATATTCTCGGTCCATTCCCCACGCTTGTGTCGCATGTTCTCGAACTCTAAACGAGAGAGGCGCACACGCAAGCCAGCAGCCTCTACTTCCATCGAAGGCTCCATTGACGAAGTGGAGGAAACAGGGAGGCTGGGATCTAAGGAAGAAGCTGGACAAAAACTGAAAGAGAAGATGTAAAATGAAAAAATGACCTCCGTTGGGCATTTATACCCGCCCCCCTCCGACCTGAGCCTGAACTTTGAGGTCGTGTTCAAACATTTGACCCTACATGGTTGTGGCGACAAAAAGGTTGCATTTAACAATGGCAGTGCCACCCTTAGCCATGAAACCAGTACTGACCCGCGATCTAAAAGCCCCTCGTATGGGCACAATCTCAAGTTGTACTGCACTCCGAAAATGCGTCAGCGATAGATTTCGACCAATAACCATCCTCCCCACGCAAATTTCGAGAGTTATCCTTTGAGCCGCCACGTGGATGTCAGTGATTTCGAGTTCGAGTGCATGCAAGGATGGTCGAATTCGAAAATTGCCCAAATTCCATCGCCTAATCGCTATTATACAACTCGAAATTGGGCTACTAAGTTCGGTGCATGTGCCTCGTCGAAAATGTACCTCGTATGCGCCGAAAAAGCAGTTCCATCTCGGGGAAGTCACCCGTATGTCAGATCAAGTCTCGAAAATCACCACCCCTTTTTATGCGCTACTACAATCTACACCTTGGACAGTAATGTGTAAACTTTAATCAAGCCAGATTGCAAGCAGGCCTAACAAAACACATACAAGTTCCCCAAAACCCACACCACAAAGGAAAATGCAAGGAGGCAATCCATGTGTAAGGCACATAATTACAACTCAACAACGCATTGAAAGACACAAGCAAATATAGATGTTAGCTTTCAAAAACCCCCCCTAATTGTAATAGACGTGTAAATCATCTTTTTAACCAAAACCCAAAGGTTCAAAACGATGGAAGCACTAGGACACTATGTTAAAGTGTATTGGGGGAGGTAAACATCTACATCATCATAAGAGAACACAGCAAATAGATGTTGAGAACACCCAAGCAGATCATCAAACGTTTTCCCCATTTTCTCTCATCTTATCGTTGGTTTGACGTGGCATGTGTGATGGGCAGGGCATTCCAAGCCTAACAATACATTGAATGTTATGAAATAACAAATACAAAAAAGCAATGTTGACTTGGTGTTTGCCAAAGAATGACCTAGCATGCACTACTGACATACTTGAGTTGGCTAACATGAACCAAAAAGTACAAACTGTTGCAAACTTTAAAAAGGATTAAAACAAGTAGAGCAGTACTAGGGGAGACAGATTCCCAAAAAAAAAACATGAAAAACCAAGCATATGTCCATGAAACCCCCAAAATATGACCATTTTGAGCTCCACATTTCAGCCATTTGTATGGCCATCCCTGCAAAAAAAACACTGAGACTGCATTGAATAGATACCTTAAGACATTCTTTATCCATTTCAATCGTAAAAACCCCCCCTTAAAACCACCCCATCATTCACATAATTCAGTAATACACATTGCATTGAGAATAAAATAATTGAAACAATTATACAGACTGACAGAATTTCGACAATCAAATACACTACCGTGTATCGCGCGGCTGTCGTCAGGCGCTTGCGATCTAACTGTTAGTCGCCTGTGTTCACGCTTAACGATACGGTAACCGGCGTCTCCGTCAACTGTTCACGCTGGCGAAACAGTTGGCGAACTGGTTACCTTTCGCCAATCATCTATCTGGAAATAGATAAAACGGCCGAGCACCAGGTCCAGCTGGGTCGTAGTTTTTGATTTCGCCTCGGGCATTTTGGGGGTTTGGGTCGAGGTAGGTCGAGCGCCCGAGCCGCGCCCTTCCCCGTGGCCATCCACATCTATTTCGGGTTCCTGTGATGCATCTTGTGGAGAGCAACAGGCTGATCCTAGACCCACGCAACAAGTGGGCTTAGGGGCTCGTGGCAGGCCACATGAATGTGCCAGATGTTGGAGACAAGTAACTTAACGCTTCTGATGTGTCGGAACATCGAACTGTAAATGAAGCGAGTTACAACGAAGCAACGGTGAGTCAACCGAGGAGGTTGACAAAACGTAACAGCTGGAGGTTACGCGAAAGTCAAGGTCAGCGACCTTTGACTCACCAAAATACAGCGCGACAGCAAGGACAAACAACTGACTCGGTATTGAGCAGTTGCCAGAGTCGTCACTGTATCGAACCGCAACAGCAACAGTAAAACAGTTAGTTACACCTTTTCATATTCCTTGTAATCTTATAAAAACTTGTGTCCCTTTGCTTTAATAAATCTATATTGCCCTCATACACCAGCGCAAGGTGGTTCAACATGTCAGAATGTTATAATTGTCTAGTCTGCAGTGGGGTATTCTATAGTGAGTACAACCAATATTAGGGTTTGCTATATGTATCCTATCTGCTGCTAGTGCAACCCCCCTTTCCTGTTTCTATCTTTGGTAGCGATTTTCGACATGGTATCAGAGCGAGATCGCTCCTGGCCTGTGGGCCCACATGCTTCCGCTGCTGTCCTACCTGTCGCGCGCCTCGGGCGCGCGACGTCTTCTGCGTGCCGCGCGCCCTGCGCGCGTGGCGTCGGGGCGCGCTGCGGTTTTCTGCCCGCCACGCGCTCGGGGCGCGTGGCGGTTTCCTGCCCGCCGCGCACCCCGGGCGCGCGCGGCGGTTTCGTAGCCCGTCGCGGCGCCCCGGGGACCCGTGCGCTGTCCCCTCCCGTCGCCCGTCACGGCGTCCCGGGGGCCCACACGCCGCCCCCCTCCCGTCGCCCGTCGCGGCGTCCCGGGGGCCCGCGCGTCGCCCCCTCCCGTCGCCCGTCGCAGCGCCCTGGGGGCCCGCGCGCTGCCCTGCCCGTTGCCCGTCGCAGCGCCCTAGGGACCCGCGCGCTGCCCCGTGTCCGCTCGCACGCCGCCCCAGCTGCTGCCCGCGTCTCTGCCCCGCACCGCACGCGCGCCTCCTGCGTTGGGGGTATGGGGGTGGCGGGTGTGTGAGCCGTCCCCTACTCCTCCTCCTCCTCCGTCTCCCACTGCTACAGCTGATGCTGAGGGGGGTGGATGTGTGGGAGCCGAGGGAGTGGCGCTAGGGGGGTGCAGTGGGAGTGGAGCAAGGGGTGCATAGGGGTGTGTGTGAAAAGGGGTCTGCGATAGTGGGGGAGGTTGAACGGAGGTAGCCGTTGTGGAGCCAGCAGCGCCAGTAGTCCGGGAAGGTCGTGTCCTTGCTCCGGTAGCCAGTGAGCCCGTTGCGCCAATCGCCCGTGGGTCCGTTGCTCCAGCCGCTCGTCGTAGCCGCGGAGCCAGTTACTCCAGTAGTCCGGATGCCCTCGCGTGTTCGGTAGTCAGTGTGCCAGTTGCTCCAGTAGCC